TTTATTTAACGGTATTTCAAGTTTCAATTAATCTGAGACATCCTCTTAAGGCTGTAGTACAATTCAAAGGCTACATCACAAGCACTTAGATCCTTCGTGTTGATTGTAGCTGCTGTAAAGTAACCTTGTGGTATCTAGTGCCAAACTTATTTGTGAAAGCTTTGTAGCTTGTTGGCAGTGCCAACGCAAATCTTGGTGCCAGTGGTTTGCCCTTGTTGCATAATAACACTCTTTAGGTGTTGCAGATAATGACCAAATCTGTGCTCTCCTTTGTAAGAAGATGACTTTCCTACCATCTGTATTATTTAAGGGACTTGCATTGTTGATGAAAGCTTATTTAAATCAATGTATGAACCTAATTGGAGGACAGACCTGCATTAGTATGGGCTTGAATGTCTTCTCCACTAAGCTATTCAACAATGTTTGCTTTTCTCAGGTCAGGTATTTTTCATCTGGTGCATGTCTGACATGAAGGTTATGTTGCTGTTGGAACAAACTAGAGAGAAGTTAATTAAAAAGTCATAGGGGAGAGCTGAAAGCACTGGAATTAAAGCTGACTGCAATTGACATTTTAGTGTAATTTTCACTATCATGATAGAAATGTGGATAGTCTAAGCCTATGATATTTATATTAAAATTTGAAGTATCACATGTGAAATCATTGTCAAAGTACATTTGATTCCCTTAGGAAACAGTACATGAACTTTTTGAGCTTATCCCATTCAAGTTGCTGTAATCGCTGCTAATTGATATGTCCAGTAAAATCATGCCAGAGTGTTTAAGTGATGCTAACTAGTATATGCTGTGCTTCAAAATATTGTTGACCCTGGTATATGGACAGGCACATAGAATTAGCTAGAAATAGCAATTCTGAGTTTCTACTGTTAATGTGTGATGTTGGAATTAATACGATGATGGCATTTCTGAAGGTCAGGTCTGGGGAAGCAGGTTAATTTTTGTAATAGGGGAAAGAAAGACATTCTGAAGGGGCATTCTTTTTCCAGATGTAATGGATGTGAGAGATGATGAGTCTCCAGCAATTTTCCAAGTACAGTTCTTCCATGTTCTTCCCTACTTCAGTAGGGAAACCTCTTTAATTAGCCTTTAATGGAACTTTGTCCTGGAGTTTTTAGGAATGATTGCAAATCCTTATTAGGTAGGCAGGTGGGTTGCATGGAGCAGTCCATGCTCCTCTAGTGGAAGGATGTCTCTTCCAGGAGTGTACCTTAGTACAAACACTGGCGGCTGCAGGATCTCTGGGTTGGCAGATGTTTTGCAGCAGCTGTTTTGTGCCTATTGATTTTGACCAGCTGATGCTCAGCACTCAGTGGTAGAAGAGGAACAAGGCTGGGTCCAGGATCCTTGTGGCAGGACACCAGTCTGAAACATGCTGCAACATTTTAAGCCAAACTTAATTTTTCTTTGGACTGCAGACTTTGCTGCTCCATTGTCTGTAGGCTGTGGTGTGGTAGCCCAGGTGTCCCAAGCTGCATGTTTTTCAGCTCCACTTGCTCCCTATGGAGCCCATTTCACACACAGTTCCACCTAAACTCCTGCTGAGTGCTATTATATACCCCTCTGATACATCATCTTCACAGTTTTATAGAATGTATAAAAACTTAAATCTAAGATGGATGCAAAAAAGTAGTATGATTTTCTATTGTACTGAAGTAAAATAGCAATAATACTTTGCTATAAGTATTAATTACCAGTTACTTGTGGCATCTGGCTAATGATACTGTACAGAATGCATTGCAGTAGTGAAATGTGGAAGTTCAGGAGGTCCAAAGCCAGCAGAAGCTCTCCCCCATTTACTCAGTTGTAGGCAAACCCCTCTGTTCACACAGTTGTGTAGGAGCTGTTAGAAGTCTGAAAACACAGTCAGATTGCCATAAAAATAACTATAACAGTCTCAAAACTATTTCAGAGCCAGTGATGTTTTTATTCTCTAAAAGAGTCCTCATGTAAAGTGTTACACAGGTGTTGTGCTGGCCAAGCTTGATGGAAACAATACCGGAAAGAGAACCCTCTAAGACAGTTCAGTAGAGTTGATTGTAACACACTGTGGAGGAGCAGCAGAGTCCTGCTTTGAAATGGTAATCTCATTTCAATTTTAAATATCTAATTGTATTACATATATAAAACTTTGCTTGTGATAGTGTCACTGCACTATTGTAGTGTTACTAAATGATCTCAGTACAGCAGCTGAAAAATTTTTCTGGAAAGGGAAATTCTCACACTGCAGACCCTTCTTGGTATGTTCCAGTCACAGCAGCTGGAGGAGTGTGGGGCATGTTACAGAGGGGTCTCTTGACCTCACAGTACTGGTCCTTGGAACAGTCTGCAAACAGAAATGAGCTTTGGGCTGACTACTCCTGAGAAATTTTTTGAATGCGTTGGTTAAAAGTTACTGAATGTGCATGAGTTTTGTTGGAAAGGCCTCTTCGTTTGCTGTTAGTTTGCTGTTAGTGCATTAGTGACATAATGGGATTTTTATTATTTTAGTTGAACGGTGTAATTTATCTTTTTTCCACTAGATGGCCCAAGCACGCTTCCAAATACCCCATGAGAACTGCAACTTAATTAATTTTTAAAATAAATTCGTGTGATTTTAACTGAAGTTAAAATTCTGCATCATGAAGCATATACAGACTTTGCTGATGCTTTGTGCTTGTTTAAAATACAAGCACTGTATATCAACGGAGAGAGTGTTGGTTAATGTAAGTAATACGTGGTAATGAAGGTTTATGTTTTTCCTTGATTAGAACATTTCTTATTGAGTGTAGTACAAGGCTGTTTATTTTTGCATTGAGATGAGAACTGGTGTACTGGCACTGACAGTGTGTTCAACAGTAATCGTTCAGAGAGGCTCTGAAACTGTGTTGATCTCGGGCTGCAGTTTGTCCCTGACATCTCCTGGGAGTGAGTTCCTGTATTTTGCAGGCCACCACAATTGATTTTGGTTTTTTGGTGACTTGATTTTTGCTACATAGGGTTTTTGTAACAACTTTGCAGGTTGTTTCACTGGTGTACAGGTGTGGTCAGTGGGTTCTGAATAGGTGTGTTGTTAAATGTATGGACTGTAATTTAATGAATCTATTTTTGTTGTCTAATAGACATCAAGGATAAGCTTGTTATCATGACTGTCTTTTTGGTTAGTGGAGAAAGAAAGGTGTACACTGAAGGCAGCTCTTGCTGTGAGTGTGGTTGGACACTGGAATGAGGCTGAAGAAGTGGTGGGATGTTCATCCATAGAGAGACATTCAAAACTCAACAAAAATGAGCCTTGAGCCAGCTCAGGGTCCCCTCCAACCTCAATTATTCTGCAATTCCAAAAGGAGATTTTATTAGTTGCTTTGCTCTACTGCTGTTTAAAACAAAATTAAATACATGGAGAAGGGATAGTTGCCTTTCTGAACTAGGTCATAACTTCAGTATTTTGCATTCAGTTCCAGCTTTCCTTTTGCTTCTGAGGACCTTGATGTGGTGGTATTAGACCAACAGAAAAAGTATGTGTGTCTGCATGTGCTCTTTTCCTTCTTAAATTGCAGTCCTCAGTGGGGGGGGGGGAAAGAAGCCATGTAAAGGAAGTGCTATATTCCTTCATTTCATTGCTGCACTTGCCAAATACCATCTCTGTCCTGTTATTAGTTTATATCGTTATTCCCAGTGTCTCTCTGTAACAGGGATGACAGATTTCCTCTTTTTCTTTTCCTCAGGATCTTTCCTAGATTTTCTCTTCTGCTCTTGAACAACAGTTGTCCCTTCCTCTGCATCTGACTGTGATCCTATTTTTCATTCCTTTTCCCATTGTCAGTATTTGTCCTGTCCTGCAACCTTCCTATTTCTCTTCCCTTTTCTGGCTGGAGACAAATCAACATGTCCATGTGTACTAAAAGGATGGACATAAATGGAGTATTTTGGTGAAAGGGATGTTGCTACCTGCAGTCAGTTCTATAGACAAAGAGGTATAATCTGCTCTGATTCATGGCCCTACTATACATGTTGAAGTTCTCCATTTGCAGTATTTTGGTCTTCCTTTCTAATTTTTTCCCAAGTCCATAGCTTTCAGTTTATTGAGCAATGGACCACACAGAGTTTGCCAGTTGAGCCAGAGACGTTTTTAAATACATTGTTTTTGTGATAGATGTGTATGTTTAAGAGGATTTCTTTCCAGAAGTGATATATTCTACCTTTGTGTAGGAAATTGGCTGCGTGGCCTTGCAACTGCTGTTATGAGTAAAACAGACTTTACTTTGCATGTGACTGGAAACTAAACTGATGAAAGCAATTCCCTTCTTAGCAACCTGGTAGTGGAAAACATAGCTATAGGACTAAAATGTTAATGATATATCTTGGTTAGCAGCATGTATTAAGGTTTAGTTCAGATTTTTTTTTTACTGAACAAATTTAATAGCGAGTATGAAATAGAGTGGGTTTAAAAATGTGTATTTCTAGGAAATCTTTGATGTAACAGAAACAGATAGATGTCATTTGTCTACCTGTATTTTGGCATGCTCTGTATTGTATGGAACTTGGCTGTAAGAGGATGTTATCTAATCACAATGGGAGGGTTTTTCAGCTGGTATCTGAGTCATGTCTCAAAACTTTGCTTGGTAACTATAGACAGTTGAAGCAGGTAGTAGTATTTGTTTTCAGTCAAACACTTCATACATCTGGTGTATGTATGTATGTAGTACAATAATATGCTTGTTGTGTTGTTTTGCAACCGGGAATACAGAAATTATACTTTAGGGTGAACAAAAATAGTGATGGACAAGATGTCAGGCAGGTGTTGTGTTTCATATCTATCTCAATGCGTTTACATAGCTGCTGTCTCCTTTGAGAACACACGCAGGGTCACTCTCGAGGAGAAAAGGCAACGCAGAAAGAACCGTATTTTGCAGAATACACCACCTAAGGAGTCTTTCTGCTCTGCCTTTTGCAATCGGATATGTCTGTCTCGTATTGGCCTCATAAACCACCAACGTGCCTGTAACAAATGTGGACAGAGCCTTCCCAAATCTTCGTTCGCAAAGCCCAGCCATGACTGACATAGTGGTACCTCTTAAATGCGTGTGGGCATTTTGGGTGAGTGGATGCAGTGCCTTTGGGTGTGTGACATGGCAGCCACGATGTTGTAGTACCCTTTGAAAGCTGGACAAAGCTGCAGAAGGTTGCAGAATCAGGTGAGAGCTTCTAAACCACCTTCTGCTATAAGAAATGTGCATCCAGTTCAGTTTAAAATTTAACTTCACAGCTGCTGTGGTTACAGCATTGTAATACTGAAATCTCCACCCCAGTATCAGTTCTGTTTGGCTGGCAAAAGTAGTTCTAAAATCAAGCTGCTTATTGTGATCAACAAAGCTCGTTCCCATGGCTAGAATGCCAGCTCCAATTTTTGAACTTTTCAGAGTAGTTCAGAAATAATGATTGAAAAAAAGAGCAGCATATATGCACTTAAAATAGTATTAATATTTCTGTTTTGCCTTTATATTCCTGTATGTCCCTCACTAGATGTCACTAGTAGATTTGGGAAAGAAACTTTTAGAAGCTGCACGAGCAGGTCAAGATGACGAAGTTCGCATTTTGATGGCAAATGGAGCACCTTTTACCACAGACTGGGTAATGAAAACTTTTGCAGTGTCTGGTAGATCATCTTACTTTTCTCACGTGAAGAAGAAAATAGTATTGTTACAATTATGCATTTATATTGCAATTCTTCTTGGAATTCTGCAGTCACATCATCTAATGTCTAATTTGAAATTAAAATTGCCTGTTTCTTCATATAACCTCCTACTGATTTTAGTAACAGACTGTGAATGAGCTCATTCTGGTGACTTTTAAGATGAACTTTGGAGTTGTTAATGGGAGAAAGCAATAATCATCCTCCTAGTTATTGTGTTTATGCATTTAGTATAGTAAGAGGTCTGAATTATGAAAGCAGTCCCAACTGCCTAATGTGGGCAACTGAAAGTTCCCTGATACAGGGGCTCTGAGTTGTCTTTCAGAGGTGCATATTTTTGAATAGGTTGTATAGAGAGGTCAGGTACCTAAAATTCCCAGGGTATTTATAAGCTCTTAAGAGCATTAATCTGCTTAGTGACCTAACTTTCAAATTAACTCTGTTTTGAGGAGGAGATTGGACTTAAGTGACTTCCAAAGGTCCCTTCCAATGCTGATATGGTGTGACCAACCTTAAAAATGGGGTTAGGCCCCTTGAAATGTTACACTTCATAAAGACAGAAAAATCACAGAAAAAAGGAAACAACAACAAACTTTCCCTACTCCTCTTCATATTCTGTAAAAGCCCCAACAGCTGCTTTCCTTGAGACTGCAAGGGAGAATGATTTTTAAGTGCTGGCTTGACACCTGGGTTTGATAGCTCCAGAATAAGAAGAAATACTTCATACTGGCATCTGTTAAAACTCCACATTTTCTGTTACATTCCAGCTGGGAACATCTCCACTTCATCTAGCAGCACAGTATGGACACTACTCAACCACAGAGGTGTTGCTGCGAGCAGGTGTAAGTCGGGATGCCAGAACCAAAGTGGACAGAACTCCATTACATATGGCAGCATCAGAAGGCCATGCCAGCATAGTAGAAGTCTTACTTAAGGTGAGCACTGCTGAAACAAGTCTGAGATGGGAATATTGCAATGGTTTACAATCAGATATTTGCAATTTTCTTTTAGTCCTGAAACTAAGATTGAAACTACATCGACAGTTGTACTGTGTGCATTGGGAGCTTTGTTTTCCTGTTAAGCTGTAATTTATTTTAGCATTAAAGTCATCAGGATTTCAGGTGAATTATTCACTGCTATTTCAAAATAAGTCTACTCCCTAATTTGACATTGTGTTTAGTAAGAGATTTTAGAACTGAGATATGTTTTAGGGACTCTTTAATCCTTTGAAGTAAATACTTCATTTGGTAGTTAGATTGAAGTACTTTTAACGAACTTGTAAATGTAAGATATCAAGGCATTCCTGGTGAAGAAAGACAATTTTGGGCTTCATTCTGGTCAGATACTTCTAATGACATAGTTTATGCAATGATCTTGTTTGTAGCATGGTGCTGATGTCAATGCCAAGGACATGCTCAAAATGACTGCACTTCACTGGGCTGCTGAGCATCACCACCAAGAAGTTGTAGAACTCTTGATAAAGTATGGAGCAGATGTTCATGCTCAGAGTAAATTTTGCAAAACAGCATTAGATATTGCAGTAGACAACGGGAATGAAGACATTGCAGAAATATTACAGGTAACTTTTGATTCCTGTACTTGATTACACATGTCATAAACTAAGCTTTTAATATAGCAGTTGTGACACTATATAATGACTGATAATGCCAAACTCCAGTCTAGTTCACTACATGGAGATGAGATTAATGTTAGTAAACATTACTTGGCTGAAGAACATTTTCATCACCTACAAAATCAAGGATATGTATCCTTTATTTTCTTAAATTTTGGTGTTGTAATACACAGAACAAGGTGGACTCTTCACAACTGAGGTGTAAAAAATTAACTCCCTACTCCGACAGTATGTTTTGACTATACCCTCATGTTCAGTTAGCTTCCTATATGGATATTAATCTCCTAACAATTGGAGATCAAGACAGGGGAGAAGAGATGACAATTTTTCCAGAAGCAGAAAAGCTAGGATTGAATTGTTGGAGAAGTGATTGTGATCAGGATTATAATAGATACTTCCATGGAAATGTGTGCTCACTGTTCAATATTACTGTTAAAGGCAAAATAAGTGATAAGCATTATTGAGAAAATAATAGAAAGCAGATGAAAAATACCATTATGCCACTGTATAAATCTGTTGCTTCCCTACATCTTGAATTGTCTGAATTTCTGATCTGTCCCTTTAGCCTGCTCTTCATTGCAGAAAGGGTAAAGAGAAGGTAATAATAATTCAAAGAAAGACAAAAAGGACGCTGCCATGTACATTTCATAGCAATTGCTGAGCTGTCAGAGCAGATTTTCATGGCCTGTGTCTGCCCCAGCAGTCTTGCTTCTTCAGGCTTCTGTTTTAGGTACCTGAACTTGTGTATCTGCAAAAGGGCCTTGTCTTTATGTGGTCCTCTTTATTTAGAGTAAATGGTAGGGAGAAGTAGTGGTGTGTTATACTTTTTGTCCTTAGATTTCTGCCAAAAAAACCCCGTTTATGTACTTGGAGACGTGACATGATGTGTGTGTATTGCATGAGTATAATGAGAGAGATCCTCCCTGTTTGTGTGGAATGGCAGTAACTGTAGCTCTTACACAAGGTAAATGACTGCTTTACACCTGCAATTGGAATGATGTGATTGCCTTTGTGTCCTAGATTGCAATGCAGAACCAAATCAACACAAACCCAGAGAGTCCGGACACTGTGACGATACACGCAGCAACACCACAGTTCATCATTGGACCTGGAGGGGTGGTGAACCTAACAGGTCTGGTATCTTCTGCAAATACATCCAATGGAACAGGTATTCAGATGCCTCTAGGATAGCCACTAGGATTTTATGCTTTGATTTTCACACTCAGTGAAAAGCTTTGAGGAAAAACAGTGGTAAGAATAGTTACCATGTTCCTCTTCAGTGTTTTTTATGTGTTGTAAATACATATGTGCCTAAAACAGCAATCTTCACAGAGCTAAATTATCAGAAGTTGTACTTGCCTAACAAACAGCTTCAGAATAGCACCTAGGTTCAGCAGAGTGCTGCTGAAAATTGTGTGTGTTAGAAGCTTCAGTGCAATAATAATAGAAAAAGGGACTTTAGTGGTTTTAAATTTATCAGCTAACTTTTTTTCATTCTACTAGATGAAACAGGAGTGTCTGCTGTACAGTTTGGAAATTCATCAACGTCAGTATTAGCTACGTTGGCAGCTTTAGCAGAAGCATCAGCTCCACTGTCTAATTCCTCGGAAACACCAGGTTAGAAAGCATTTAACCTAATTTAATAATTAAAAGTACATAAAATTCAACTTTCCTGTGGCACACAAAGTGGTGTGGTAAATAGTGCTTAATATGGATATAGGTACAAAAGGAGAGCAAGGAATGAATAATGACCATATTTATGGGGCTGTTTTTCTTTTATATAGAGTAGCTTCTCTTTAGACAAAATCTCCACTTTTCTTGCAAGGTTTGAAGAAGTCCTTGCAATGTTTCCTTCCAGAACTAAAACCCCAATATTGAATTTGAAACAGAAAAAGATCAGAGCTGTTTGCCACAGCACCTAGTATTGGCACTTGCAACTGGGACTTTTCTGTGACAGTGGTCTTTCTTACTGCTGAGCCTGTGCTTGGAAGCCAAATCAAATTCAGTACACCACCACTTATTCATGTGGGACTTGCTGTTTTGGTTTACTGAATAAACACTCTGTGAATGTTTAAGCAGTGCTATAGGACAGTGATCTCTGAACATAAGGATCTTCAGAAGACAATGACTGCAGTCATTATTTAAACTACAGAGTGATTTTTCTGTGCATGTTATATTGTAATTAATTTAAAAGATGAAAGCTTCAGGGCTTTATCTGCCTTCTCTCATCTTGAACCTCACAACACAGGTCTATAGGGTTTTAATTTCATCTTGGTAGATAGAAAGCACTCTATTGTCTGTTATTTTAATCAAAGGCTTTGCTTTTACCCTGACAAATTGAAAATAAAATACAGAGTTAGTGTGCTTGAATTTCTTTGATTGTGTTACTAGTGATCTTGCTCTTTGTCTCAGTATCTTGTTGTTTTAAAAAATAAGGGTGGTAGCACAAGACCTGAGTTGCAGCATATAGTGCAAGCTGTGGCATATGAAGTTATATACATTAAATGTTTGTTTTACTTTTTAAGCTTTATCTGTCTTCTTCAAATATGTAAAAATGTCAGCTTTAGTCTTGTTTCATACTTTATATAATAAAGTTGTGGGTGTGTTTTGAAGTACTGATGTAGTACAGACAAAGCTCTGAGATTCTGTAGAGGTCCTTCAGTTTTTTACCATCTTAAAAACCGTTGTGTTAAGCAGAGAATTCTGGGCTGGGTCCTGATGTATGGGTGGCAAGGCATTGGTTGAGAAGTAGTTTCAAGGTAGTATTTCAAGTTTAATTTTTTTTTTTAATTCCACTATTAGTGTAACTTAGTTCAGCTTATTTATTTATAAGTAAAAGTTATTTGTGTTCTTAAAAGTATCTCTTCTTGCTGCCATGTTAATACGGAACCCAAAGCATCAATTTAGAGTGGGGTATATATATTAGCAAAATGCAAAAAAAAGTTATTATATTGAGCAAGGTAGACTAGGACAGTGTTGCATGTATTTTTCAAAATGTGAGTGCTTTATGTTGGTCTGGTGAAAGATTTCTATGAAAATTTAATACACGGTAATGTATTAATTGAGGGAGGGTCAAATTTAAAAAGTTCTGGAAGAAATTTTTTCTCAGTTGTACCAAAATGCATTTGAAATTACAAAGTTTAATTTATAAACTGACTTAATTTCTTCACTAATCTGTTGATAGTTGTGGCCACAGAAGAAGTTGTGACTGCAGAATCTGTGGATGGGGCCATTCAGCAAGTTGTCAGTTCTGGAGGTCAGCAGGTTATTACTATAGTTACAGATGGCATTCAGCTGGGTAACCTGCATTCCATTCCAACCAGTGGAATAGGGCAACCCATCATTGTGACCATGCCAGATGGACAGCAAGGTGAGTTCAGACTTGTATGATTCCAGATTGAGGAACTGTTTTAGTTACAGTAATAATAATGACTTGTTAGGTGCAAATAGCTTGGACAGTTTTGTGTACATCAAAGAATTCTTATACTACAGAAGACTGGAACATGAGCTACTGCAGTTCAGTGGGTTAACACATGTCAGCTGAGTCTCTGCATTAGGAGAGAGAATGGAAGAATTACTAAACTGTATGGAGGAGAAATGAGACATTTAAGGAAAAAGTGATAACTCCTTGCTTTGCCTTCAATAAGTTTGATTCTCACAAACTTGTTACAAAAACTAGAAGGTGGAGTAAAATGAAGCCTTCTTCCAATACTCATGCTGTTGCCTTGCCGGAAATCCAGTGGGGAGGTGAGGCTTGGATTTAGAAATCTGATGCATGAAGCAAGCTGTGCAAGTCCCATGGAGTGTGTTCTTAACAGGACAAATGTCAAGTTTTAGAGCAGCAGTGACAGAACCAGTGACACCAGGGTGACACAAATGTTCCTGTTGGGCCATATGTACTTTGTAGAAGCTGTTAGTGTGATAAGTGCTATTTTGAATGTGTATGTTTTGGGTGATTTCTTTTAAGGATGCTCTGTCACCACTACTTAGATAAAAATGACTCCTCCTCTGGTTTCTTCATAAGAACTGCCGGTGTGAAGCTTGGAGAGTTGTACACTGGAGACTGTAGATCTCAGTAACAAGGAATTTTAAAATTCTTTAGTAGTGTACAAGCAGCTAAAATTTTAGTAAATTTTCACCATACTGACTTTATAATGCACTTTATTATATAGCTGTGTTTTCAGAAGGAAATGTCTCTGCATTTTATTGCTGTTAATAAAATTACTTAAGTAATATGGGTTTTATATAGTGCAAATATTGTTTGAAATAAATATGTTTACATGTACAAATATGTCTTCAGTATTAACAGTCCCAGCAACAGACATTGCTGAAGAAACTGTGATAAGTGAAGAACCGCCAGTGAAGAGACAGTGCATTGAGATTGTTGAAAATCGTGTGGAGTCTGCAGAAATAGAAGTAAGGAGTATATTACATGATCTGTGTTAAACAGTGTTCAGCACTGAGTATCTGGTTGTGATTCAGGGTAATTTCTGTGTTACCACAGAACGAAGTGTGTGAAACAATAACTTGTTCAGTCTCTCCTGTTACTGAAAGTTGTCTTTTACAAAGTTGTAAAAAGAAAACAGGAGGGCTGTTTGCTTCATCCTGTGGTCATGCATGTGGAAGTGACACTTGTTTAAGTATGTGATAATGTAATTTTTTTTGCTTTTACTCTAAGGTCACTGACTAGTTTTTAAATTTGGGCACCGATACATTATCAAGTGACTTGACTCTTTCCGCTGGGGATGAATGAGAGAACTGTATCCTCATCTTTCTGTTACAGCCACATGCTTGTCCTGATTGTGAGATCATATTTTTAGTAATGTTTCCTTTCCATTCATGATATCTAGATAACTGTTGATGGAAGTGTGAAACAGTAAGATTCTGTGTTTGTCTGTTTTTATCTGTATGTCATCCCCTGCCTTTTTTTTTAATTCCGAAGCAATTTACTGTTACACAACCTTGCACTATCCATTTTTTTTAAACTATAGTGCAAAAGACCTTCAACTGTGGAGAGTGCTTTTCTTTTTATATGACAAATAGCTGTAGCTGTTCAGTTTAAAAATGTAGCTTTTTTTATATTAGCCACAACAGGTCAACCATCTCATTCCTTCTCCTATTACTTCTAACTGTGCTGACCAGTTTTGGTCAAAACGTTATGAAAATTGCTGTCTGCTTTGACTAGACTGTAAGTTCTCATTTTGTCAGCTCCATGATATTTCGTTTATCTAACATTGTAGTCTCCAACTTCTGTTCATATTATCAAATTGTGCCTAATTGAATACTTTTTGTTGTATAGTGTGTACTATATGTTATCCATATCTAATAACAATAATTACCATCTCTCATCTCTTGCTTTCCCTGTCCCTAAGTTGTCACATCAAATACTTTTGGCCTCTGCAGCTTTGTGGTCATTACAGATTATCCTGACAGTTGAAATTTTCTTGCTGCATTTTTTAAAGTGTATGACTGTTACAATAAAAGCATTTTTTTGTTCACACTTTTAAAAATCTGCCTGAATTATTCATAAAGGAAATTATGTTTCCTTAAGTATTTTAATAATTCTGTTAGGCGAATTTAAAAAAATACAGATTAGTTAAGGAATAAATTGATCTGTTCCTGATTAGAGATAGTTGGTATAACACTATCAATAATTCTTTTAAGGGGATTACCAGTTGCAATTTTATATGTTGAACACATTTCTCAAATATAAAAAGTTACTTTAAATGAGTTATTTTGCCTGTTACTTTTAAGTGCAAGTTTTGATGACTGATCTTTCCCTGCCTGTACAACTGGAATTGCAGATCTCTGCCTCTGTGTGGAGGACAGTTAACTTTAGGGACCTTATTGTGGTTCACAGGGGTATGGTGCTACCTTACTTTGGTAGCAGTGACATTAAAGAAGTGCACGTGAAGTCGCTTCACTTCAAATTTCTTTGTCACAGGCAGTGGTAGATACTTGAATTTGGAGGGAGTGGGCCCCCTCTCCTCATTAAATTATTTTTAAAATATTTTAAAATATAGAAATAAAGAAAACCTTAATTACTTGGTTTCTTTGCCTTACACTGATTCATTCCTTTATTTCATTATAAAGAGTTAATTCAAGGCTGAATCCTTTCTTCAGCTGTTTTAAATTCATAGTGTGTGAACAGTTAACTGTAGTTTCAAAGTTTCTGTAAGTTGAAAATCCTCCCATTCATGTGAAGTAACAAATTTTCCTGTGAAAGTATTGTGAAATGACTAAAGCGGTAGTGGTGTTTTTAAATTCTCTTTTCTGGCTCTGTTAAGTTCAAACATTTTGGCTCATTTTGAAGAGTGATAGTTTTCCTAAGCAGTTGGATATTTTAAACGTGGGATGGCAGCAAAAAAACCCTGTCACACAGATACTCTGTTTTTCATTTCATGCATAATTCATTAATGTACAGTGATTTTTATTTTCATTCTTTAATTTGACTGTTTTTCACATGATGTATGTTTGAAAGGTGACACACACGCATTAGAACCAGGACAATAATTTCATTAGACTAAAAAATAATCATAAACTAATTCTCTTAGTGAATTCATATCCCTGTTTTTTTCTGTTGTTCAAAAGAGTGGTTTGGTTATTTTAGTTATGGGCTTTCCTGTTGTCAATATTTAGACTGTTAAGAAAAGTTACATGTAATGAAGAAAATTCCCAGATAAAATGGAAGATTGCTTAAGGGCACTGAGGATCCTCTAATTTGATTTTTACCTGGGTAGGTGTTTATATGATACAAAAGGACTTCAGATCGTTAGAAAGCTTTTAGTTGTGTTCTAAAGAATGTCCCAAGAACACTGTCTGGGTTTGATTAAACTATCATCAGATACGGTCCTCCCTATTCTAGATGTCAAAGTTAAGGAACCACTTTTCACTGAGTTCACTGTAGATAATTGCTCCTCTGCAAGCGTTGGGTTCTTTCCACTGTTATCACACAATATACTTGGCCTCAGTTCCTTAACTCATTCTGTTTGTGTTGGGACAGTCTAAAAGGTACTCCTGTTAGCTGCTGGACTAATCTGCGTGCTTTGAATTGCTAGTCTGCCTAGTAGATACTGGTTTTATCTTGGCCTTGCCCTTTGAGACTGGGGTTTTTCCTTTTTTTCTTATCCCATCCTTAATATGCTATACTACTTGTGGGTACACAGCTCTAGTTCTCTCTTCTGTGGGAAATACTCTTAAGATGTGGTCTGAGAACCTCTCCACCCCCAAATGTTTGCAGGGTGCACACACTCCATAGCAGTGATGGCCTCTTGCTGTTTGTAATGCACCACAGAACTACTGGCTGCTGAGCTCCCAATGGTTTTTATTCTAATGCAGCCCAGTAGATAGAGCAGCTTTGCTTCGTGGCAGTATTAGGTTTCTGATGGCTTTTATGAGACAAATTCATGGAATAGATAATGCCCAGCTCAGTATATCCCAGCCCTCCAAAGGCTGCTTTCCACATGTAGCAGGATGAGCTGTTTTGACAGCTTCTTTGACAATTGTCTTGTAGCTTTTTGCAGCAACACTCTGTTCCACGTGGCTGTTTTATGTAAGCTGTTGGCTTCCCTCATCCTACAGAGATAACTTACAGCAGTAGCAGTGCATTTTGCTTGGACTGCTGGAACATCGGGTGTGTTTCAGATCCTCTGAGGTGTAGGCTCTACTGGTCATGTGGCATCTGTCAGTCTAGTTGCTACATGGATTGACTGCTCATAGAGTTGCTTAAAAAGCAAAATGCAAATTTTCAGAGGTGGAAGCTGAACTTCCTTTTCAAATAAAGTAAGCAAGATCAGATGAGCTCTCATTTGATTAGCGTATGCTTCAAACGAAGCAAACCCCAGCTTGCTGCCTTCAGCTCTTAAAACCCTATGGAAAAAGAAGTTGCACTTACTGTTCTGTATTCTAGCCAGCCTTTATAACCTATTAATAACATCTCTCCTTCACCTGTTGTTTTTGCTGTACAGGTGCTGCTGTTAGGAATGATCTGATCACCTGTGTCATTGTATTTCAGCACATTCAGCACAGCATGTGACTGCTAAATGTGGCTGTGACAAGTACTGAGAACAGTAGTGAGTTGAAGGGAGGCAGAGTGTTTTGTATTTTTCTGACCATGAAAATATGTGAGTGCATCAGAGATGAAGAATAGGGATGCTGTTGTGGGAGTGGGGGGGCAAAACTTCTAACAACTGTTTGAAGTATTAAATGGGAATGTGGTACTGAACTGCTGGGATGGGAATAAGCTGAAAAGGCAACTTATTTTCACTGGGCCTCAGTTTTTTGATAAGTTTTGTTTTTCTGGGAGATGGCTTGCTTTTCTGACAGCCTTCCTTCCTGTTCCTGTTTAACAACTACAGTGGAAAGAATGATTTTAAATCTAATACTACCTTACTCATAAAGTATGATGCACTTTAATGAAATTGTATTTGGTTGAAGATCAAAACAAAACTATTTCCCAAGCAAATTGCTTTTTCAATTGGGCTCAGTGCAGCATCAGACAAAATGACAGTACCTACATCACTGGAGATGGAAATGCATTCTCCTTAGTTCCTAAGGCAGCTTCAGAGGAAGTGGCATTTCCCATATGATTTTGCTTGGAAACCATTTTATACCCATTCCCAACAAACTTGTATACAGAACTTCTGCAATTACTTCAGTAAGGATTTTTTCAGTTGCTGCTTTTGAATTGAAAAACTTTATCTGGCTAAATGCCTGTTAATTCATAAAGATGTGATATCCTTGGGGATGTAATTATAACTCTGGATTGCATTGAATCAATCACTGTTTATAGAGACCACTGAGATGTGTATTTTGGTCAGTGGGCAGCTGACACTCTCCAGCACAAAGAGCTGTTAGGTAGCAGTTTTTCTTTATATTATCTGATTAGAAATAAAACAGCAAGGGACAATCCTGTTAGATTGGATTCCAATTTTAAAAAGTAACAAAGGGAATTGAATCATTGGAGAAATATTAATATATTATGTGAATATTTAATCACCATGCTTCCACTTTTTTTATTTAGCTCTTTTTTGATGAAGACTTGAGTGGGATCTTTGCAGCTCAATAGACTCAGGTTTACTGTATCCACAGCTGAAGCCTTGTTGTGGGGAGTTGTCTGGTGTTATAATTCATGTCTGATTTGCACAACAGCATTCATACAGGTCTGCCTGAGTAAGAACTGAACAGTTCCTACATGATACCCTAACACTTGAGCTGCATGTAAAGGAAAAGTATTTGCCTTTTTAACTTGTATGTGATACTTATTTGACAAAGTATTGCTGGTTCTGTTTCTAATAGGAGAGAGAAACTCTTCAGAAACAGCTGGATGAGGCAAACAGAGAAGCACAAAAATACCGTCAGCAGCTTCTAAAGAAGGAACAAGAAGCAGAGGCCTATCGGCAGAAGTTAGAGGCAATGAACCGCCTCCAGACTAATAAAGAAGCTGTTTAATAAAAAATGAACACACTGCAAAGCCTGTTACTTTCAAAAACCTGCAGTACAATCTTGAACTGTACACTATATAGGTACAGACATGGGATTTCATGATAGAGAAGATGCTACAAGTTGATAACTGGACTTAAGCCGTGAGCTCTGATTAATTTCTTGTAACATAAAAACTCTGAATTTAGAAATTGTGAAAAGTATTTAAAATTAAATACTGTAAATAGTTGGTTTTTTTACAGTTTCAAAATAAGTTGATAAATCTTTTTGAAGGGATCCAGAAACATGAAAAGCCAATGTTTTTGTGAAATTTTTGATTTTAGTATGAATCTACTTCTGAAAAACAGAACAGTTTTAAGGGTGATGTTGATTTAAGCTTGAAAATTGATTATGTGACAAAATTAATTAACAGTTATTTCTACATGACAACAACTCAAACAACTTCTCTGAATAAGACATTTCCAGGTGGAAATCTTTGTACAGCTTTAAGTAGTTGTCTCAGATTCTCTGAAAACCATTTTTGGTTTTTTTTTATTTTAGGTGGTGAAATTTTTATATTTAATTTCAGATATATCCAAGTAGATTTACATGTATATGAAGCTAATATTTTTTAAACTTTTCAGTTTGTACATATGCTGCATGTTTTTATAATTTCTACACATACATCTTGCATAGGTATTTTTCAGCAAAGATGAGAAAAATTATGAGAAAAATGTTTAGCCTATAGGTCATTTGAAGTAAGCTAGCAGCCAGTTTTATCGTGGATGGTATATTTCTTGGAAGAATGTAATTTGTAATTAAGAAGAACAAAAAAGAATCTTAATTTACATATTAAGAGGCAAAATTTGGTAGTGGAGGCATTGAAACTTCACTTTGTGTGTCTTACAATTTTCCTGTACAAACATTTTAAAGTTCAGTAATGAATAGAAAAGAATGTCTCCACTGGAACACAAATAGTAGTTATTTTAGAATATTCCTATTGATCTCTCTTCCCCAATAGCCTTGAAATTACTTCAGTGATACATTTTTTTCTGAACAGACTTTTGCATTTTAATTATGCAATTGGACAAGTAATTTTTTTTATGTTGTAGTGATGCTCTTCCTACCCAGCATCATTGTTCCTCACTGTGATACTGTGTTTGTGTGTGTCTGTGCAGTGATCTATTATGCTTAAAATTTATATGGCACATTACATCTTCAGCGCATTGTAAAATCTTTTAAAGAACCCTTTCCTATACTACCTGAGGCAGGTAAGTGTTATTGTCTCAATTTTATAACTGGTATAAATGCAACACAAGGGAGTGGTAAATGACTGGCTTAACACCACATGAACCTGTGGTCACCTGGGAATGGATCTCAGGAGTTCCTGGCTTCTAGTCCTGTGCTTAGACTGAGCTGCCTTAAGACTGTTCAGTGCTGTGTTACATTAAATTTTGAACTACTGTGCAGGTTCGTTTTTTGTAAGATAAAATTCTTTGTGCTTTGCTTTGTTGTTCCATGTTCACTGCTTTTATGGAATTGTTTATATAAACTTAAGCAAAAAGTCTGGTTTATCTATACTGTACACGGAAGAATTACCCTTAAAACTGTACTCTGGCCTACTTTTTCTATTTTACAATTAAATATCTTTTCCACATATATATAGTGTAGAATCAATTCCATTTCAGTTGTTTTGTGTATGCATTAGAAGGTCAAAACCTCTGTGTTGGGCACTTGGAAAAACATGAAGAAACAGTTTTAGGCTTAGAATGACCTTAAGTACTGGGAGGGAGGAGTGGGCAGAGAATTGCATTGTGCTGTACAAAACTTTGTCAAACAGGTAAAAATTTGACTTGAGTATATAGAATTGGCAGTAGGAAAAAATGCTAAATATCCTAGTATCATTACATAGTTGGTAAATTTGATCCTGATTGGCAGATTTGACCTAAAAATAATCAAAAGATAATAAAAATGAAAAACCTGGTGGTGAGTTTTAGAAGAACTATTTTCAAGGATATAATTGTGGTGGTACTAGGACTTGAAGAAAGCCTTGTGCAGTGATTACCTGGAAATTGCCCTGTTTTAGGGATGTTTTCCGGAACTGTCCATAACGTCACTAGCAAATGCAGAAACCAGTTAGTCGAGATAAATGTGCTGCTTAGGCATTGTTCCAACTGAATTATTCCGTGATCAAAGTAATGTTTGTGTCCTCACATCCCACGAAATCGATGACAGTGTAATCTCTGTGAGTTCTTAATAATGATAAGAGTCTCAGTCTGAGTGGTGAGTGTGGTAACGTTCACATCCAAATGGAGAGTTTCCCACGGTTGGGACAGCACAGACCTTTGTAGCAAATAATGAAATGAACCTTTTCTAATCATTCTGTTTCCTGTGAGCAAATATTCTATTCCTCATTGTCCATAATGAAATCCTAGTAAGTGCAAGGTAACTATAACAAAACCTTATTTATCACCAGCAATATTTACCCTACCTGTAATTCATTATCACCTATTTTCTAGTTCTGAACAGGACCTGCTGTTCGTTCTCTTCTGCACAGAACAAGAGACCAAGCTGATGAAACTCACCTTTGAGCAAGGCGTAGGGTATATGTCACATGAAATATTTATTGTATAATTTAGCTCTGAAAACATTGTTAAAAATATTGTTCCTTATTTGCTGTTCCAAATTAAAAACAAAATGTAGCTAGCTACCATCTGTTTCTTTGAACAGATGTCCATATATTTTAAGTATTAGTTACTTGTAATGAGCTAGAATCACAGTTCTGGGGAACTTTGGGCTGTTCTTGAGTTGGCCCTGTGCTTGATGCACCTTCTCATCTTCCTTGTTCCCCTTTATGAGATCATTTACAGTAAAGCCAAGAGACGTTAATAAATTGATATGAAGTGTGTGGGCAGCTTGTTACTTATCTCCTGATGTTTCCAGAGAAATGTGAGACAACAGATTAATATGCATATAGTATTTTTTTCACTTATTTAATGCCTTTTTATCAATTTGGATTTTTTTATTTCAGTACATTAATCTGATGTATGTGTATCAGAGCATCTTTGTCATATCTAGAAAACAGTTCCTTCTCAAATATCTAATTGCAACAGGAACTAGGAAGGGTTTCACACTGTTCTGTAGGCATTTTGCTGTGAGAACAATCTAACAGCTTTCTAGAACTATGAAAGTGTTTGGGCTGTGTTTGGGTACACGAGGCAGAGAATTCAAGCTGCTCTGGCAGCCAGTTCTCTTCTGTGTGATGAGAACAGAAAAACTGCTGTTGTGTATCAGATGAAGGCTCTGCCTGATCTGGTGTCCTGTCTCCAGCAGGGTCTGCCCTAAGCAGGAGCCTAAGGTAGAGCAAAAATAGGGCAAGGATATATTGTACTGGTAGTAGTTTCTCTTCCTGGTGCTTAGTCCACAAATCCTACCTCTCTCTTTGCTCAGGGCTGCTTGGTGTACAGTGTAGAGCAAGTGAAGATGGTAGGTGCTCAACAGTGAGTACAGTGTCAAAGGTTGTGCTGGCAGAGATAGGTCAGGATGTGTTTTCAGGCCTTAAAACTGGAACAAGGGGGAATCTACATAGCTGTCCTTTCAAATGGAACAATCCAGGTGGAGGACTTGGAGGAATTTTGGAGAGACAAGACCAAATCCCAGTTCTTATGTGTATCATATGTGAGGAAAGCAAGCATAATGAGGGGAAAAATATGCATTTTCCCAGCTCAGCAATCTAGGGTGATATCCATGGAGGAACATCACCCTGGTTTGTGTAACCTGCTCTGATCTGGAAAGGCAGGAAATCCACTGAGAAGATCATTGCTGCTTTGTATTGCAGTTCTTGAATGACAATAACTGTAAAGCCTTTCCTTTTAGCAGCATGGGACTGACAGCATAAGGACTGAAGATTTGTGGGGATGTAGGTATATTCTTATTGCTTTGGGAATTCTCAAAACAATTCTTAAAAAAAACCTCCTTCCCTGTCTGCAGTGTCAGATTTGTTCTGTGCTGGTGCCTTGTTTTAATGACTAGCACAGTAGTTGGGTGTGCTGGTGTAACATCTGCTGGCTTTTATTTGGTTTTGGAAGTTCTTGAGCTTTTTCTCTCTCACAAGTCTCCTTATAATATGCCTTATATTCATGATGTGGATTACTCTGAGACTTCTGAAAGATTGATTGAAAGTGGGAAAGGGTTAGTGCAGAGGCAGCTCCTCTTAGCGATACACTATCTTACACATCAAAAGGGCACAGATGAGAACATGAGAGATTGTAAAAGCCCTCACTTGGGAGGAGTTAGATAAACACTCACCAATAACCTGCCTACGTTAAACCTTTTCCAGAATGCGTGAGTCTGAGAGATAAAGGGAGCTATAAAGGGGGAAGCAGCCAGGAGGGCACCAGAGGGAACTGCCCACAGCTCCCGAGGGGTCGTGGCCCAGGTTTGGAGGTGCTTCTGTAAGGAATCAGTATGGAGCCAGAGGAGTACAGACAGAGAGGTGAGTGATCCTTGGCTCTTGCAAATGGGTATCACTTGCTCATGGAGATCAACTATGGTAGGGCTGGGAGTGGTCCCCAAAATTAGGATGGCCTATGTACTCTTTATTTGCACACATGTCCTTGAGACTTGGATCTGCTGAGGCTGAGACAAAAATGTGTCCCAGGATTGAGTGTAAATTAATGGATTTAGAGTCCATGGGTAACTTAGCCTTTTTGGTCTTACTTTTAAGATAGTGTGGGAAAACTGCAAAACTGTAATTTTGAATGAACTTGTGGTGAGGGTTTATGCACAGTGGCTTTTCCCTGGCTGACACTGTGATACTGGTACAGTTCTGGAGATGGGGAACAAACTTTAGTTCCAGAGGTAGAGGAGATTGCCTTAAAAAGTGGAGAAGAGGTGTGGAGCTATGCAGCTGTTTTCAGAGGATGCAAAAGGGGGTATGCTATAGTGACAAGGAAGTGTAGGGCATTAGGAAAATTTAATTCCTATGAAATGCAGTTTCAGTTAATTTTTAGGCAAGAAAGTCTAACCTCTCAGTAGTCAAACAAACTGTACTTGTACCCTGACTGTGTTTTAAAGGTACATTTGAACTATTCAATGATGACACTGAAATAACCCTGTGAGTCTGTTCTGTCCCCATAAAGCCTGTTCTGGAAGCTGTGTCCCTATATTATTAGATGGGACCAGTAGGGTGTAGGAGGGAGGTCAGTTCCACTGGCTGTGCTGGGAGCAGTATTCCAATGCTAATGGCAGATTGTGTGCAGTGCTGGTACTGCTAGGTAGTTTTCACATAATTGAAACTCAAAACACTGGTTTGCCTCTTCCAGGGAAAGAGATGGTGGATTACATTTGCCAGTACCTGAGCAATGTGAGAGAGAGACGGGTGACTCCTGATGTGCAGCCAGGTTACATGAGAGCCCAGTTGCCGGATTCTGCCCCAATGGATCCTGACAGCTGGGACAACATCTTTGGAGATATAGAGAAGATTATTATGCCAGGGGTAAGCAATAAAGTGTAATCATGACAGGAAAAAGCCCTTATTGCCTGGGGTGAACACCAAATCCTGGGAATGCACAGGTTCTGCAGAACATTTATCTAAATGAGTAAAGTACCCAAAAACGTAGAATAAGTCTTATAGACATGTCCACAGAAGGATTCCAGGGACTACTGTTGTGTTCCTACCTATAGTTTTAGGGGCTAGACTGAATGTATTTTTGACATATGTTATACATTAAGTCATATTTGCTTATAGGGAAACAAATTCACCAGTGTCAGAAAATCATTAGCTTCACAATGTCTCTACCTGCTGACCTGTGTAATATCTATTTCAGAGATGTGGAAACTTGGGCACAGCAGTTGTGTACATGTAAGACCTGTCTCCTGTTCTTTGAATGTAAAGGTCTTGTTTCTCTTATACATAAGTACTGCAGATTCTGCTAAGGGAGTTCATATTATCGAATTACATGTTTTATGTAAGAAGTCCTTTCAGAGTCTATTCTCAAATTTTTTTATAGATGTTTGCAGAAACTTGATCTGATGTAGGAGAGGTATTCACATTACACATGCTTATGCTGATGTCCCACATAGAAACTCCTTCAGGTGTATAGAGGGGTTTATATAGTTGTAGATTGCTATGTGTAGCTACTTATTTTGTTTGACAAAATGAGCAAGAGAAACTTTGTTGCATGAATTCCCTTTATAAAGATAAACATTTTGATAAATCTTTCTGACTCTGGTCTTTTGAACATGGCACAACATTCTTTCCTGTTCAGAATCTTCGTCTGCCTGTTTAATTCAGATAAATGCTTTTGCTGTTGTTTGGAATTTATCTAACAATGACAGAGTGTTAGTACTGCACTCCTATTGATACTATCTCTGCAGCTTTCTGCTAGCAGATGTATAGTTGCACATATTATGTTGCTGTGATCCTTTTCCATCACTTTAAAGATCTAATGATAATTGTTACATCTCATGCAGAATTTTGTGACATTTCCAGATTTAAGTTCTATATAATTCTGTTCTAGGTAGTCCATTGGCAAAGTCCACACATGCATGCCTACTTTCCAGCTCTTACTTCCTGGCCTTCACTCCTTGGAGATATGTTGGCTGATGCAATTAACTGCTTGGGATTCACATGGGTAATTTTTTTTTTTTGGCTATTTTAGATATTCATTTCCTGTGTGTAATATGCAAGAGCAGGTCATAGTCATTCTTTCTTGTTCTCTGAGTCAGTCTAATTATTTGCTTTAACCAACTGTATGTTGTTTGCATAAGTGAAAAATTCACTTAAAAAAAAAACTCAAAAGGTTACATATTAGTAAGAGGTGAATGAAGAAAATATACCACTAGAAATGTCTGTTTTCTAATTTTTTGCATATCCCACTGTGAGCATTGTTCCCTATCATCCAATCTCAGTGCCAAGATTGTTACACAAGCACTGCAGGCAATAAAGCAACCACCATCCATTACTGCAGGCTAGATTGGGCTCCAGTCCAGTTCTGCTCCTTTGAGAGAACACATTTCCTATTTTTCCTCTTCTGAAAATAATTGTTTGGTGGCCTGGCCCAAAATACCTGAGTATTTTGTGTCCTCCTGCAGCAGCTACACAGTGCTGCTTTGTTATAACTCTGCTTACCTCAGTAGCCTTCTGAAGCAAATGTTCTCCCCAGTGGTGACGTTGCCGAGATTTTTAGGTGTGTGTCTCTGTGTAAGAAAGCAGTAGAAGCTCATAAACCTATAAGAAACTGATGGGTATTGTCTCCATGTAGTTGTATCAGATCAGCTCATTGCCTCCCTTAGCTCTCAGCTGGCAGAGGGATCAGCACCCAGGGTGAATTACAGTCTGATTCTCTTTTTTTTACATTTTTCTAGGCCTCCAGCCCAGCCTGTACAGAACTAGAAATGAATGTGATGGATTGGTTGGCCAAAATGCTGGGACTTCCAGAGAAATTCCTGCACTACCATCCTGACAGTGTGGGTGGAGGAGTATTACAGGTAGGGGACATTAGAGGTCTCGTCAACGTTTTGTTTTCACTCAGCTGCATTTCCCTCTGGGTCATAGTTTTCCTAGAGGCAAAACCAACAAGATTCTCTGTATGGATCTAAATAGAGACAAATCCCAATTTGGCATTATTTTCCCAAATTTTAGTTTAACATAGAAGATTACAGAATAAGAATGGCTATTGCTTTTAGTGCTAACTGTGTTAGGGACGAGCAGCAGCTGCTCTTGTGGCCTTTCTAAGGATAAATGAGAGTCAAATTTCATTTCTTCAGTCTGTTTCACATCACCAAATTATATACTAAAGTGATTCTTACATAATTAGAGAAGGAATCCTTATCACTGTCCTTCTGCCACAGTCCTTAGCCACACAAAAAAATATTTTTCCTTTTTGTCATATCTACTTTGTGCCTCTGAGAGGTGCAAGATCAAGGCCTGAACCTTGCCTCCTTTTGGAAGGCTTAAGCAAGTATCCCATGGAATCAGTGTTGAGGTTCTGTGTTGTTATAGGGGGTTTTACTTACATTTGTAATTTTATCTGTAGAACAAATGGAAAATATGATTTATTTACTCCCCCCAACTCAGTCCTGCACATAAAAAATATACAGCACTTAAAAAGCTTCATTTTGTGTTGCTGGCCCAGAGAGCTGCTCATCAGCTAATGACTTTCCACTGCATCACAGAAAAGCGGTAGTAGGAATAAAAGAGGGGGTGGGCAGCTGAGTACTGACTTCAGTGAATCCCTGGCAAGATAGCAACGAAGTAGCAGTTGCAGTAAATGAGCAATGTCTTTGCAGAGCACTGTGAGTGAATCCACCTTGGTTGCACTGCTAGCAGCAAGGAAGAACAAAATTCTGGAGATGAAGGTTTCTGAGCCAAACACCGATGAGTCCTCGCTCAATTCTCGCCTCATCGCTTATGCGTCTGATCAAGTAGGTTCTTATGATTACAAAGAAAACAAATGTGCTCCTGCTGTCTCACTCAGACTATGCCATGTGAACTCTCATTTCTCTACCAAAAGGCAAACACAGGAATGCCTCACAAGCATGACCCAGTTCCTCTAGTACCGCTTTCTGCAGATGAGGAAACGAAATCAGTGTGAGGCGAGGTTTTGTAGGGTCCTGGCAGTCCTCAGGAGGCTGTTCCACATGAGTCATTTCTAAACTTCCTTCCTGTTTTTCACAAAGCCTTACCCCAGTAACTAGGTGCTGATCTCATGCTGCTCCAGCTCTTGTTTGTTCGCAGCCTCCTTCCACTCAGAACAGGCACAGTCAAGGTGCTGTTACCTCAGTGCTGCTCCTGGCTGTGGGCTCCACTCTGGGCCTCTGCCTGCAAGCCTGTTCCGTCCCTGGGCTCCTGAACTAAACAATTGTATTTGCTTGTGAAAACTGCAACAGGAGAGACTAAAAGGACTTTTTCTTATGAGGTGTTTTGGTCTACCCAGAAGTAAGCACACTTTGGGGGATTTATCTTCTTATGGCAGGGAGGAGGGAATAAACTGGGGATGATCTATTTCTAGAGGCTCCTTTAAGCACTGAGTTTTGATAAATGGCCCTTCAAACACAAGATGAGGATGCCTATCACTATATTTGTTTTAGAGACAAGTACCCAAATAAATGAAGCATTCCTTGGAATTACAGTGTACTATTTCTGATAGATACTTACAAAGAAGTCACTTTCAGACTTGTAAAATATGGATTACAATAAGGACATTACCTCTGCATTTCTTGCCACCACTGTCTTTTCATAAGGCCATAACTTACCACAGCTGTTCAGCCTCAGAGCTTGAGTTCTTACTGTTTTTCTTATTTTAAAGGCACATTCTTCTGTAGAAAAGGCTGGCTTGATTTCCCTTGTGAAGATAAAATTTCTGCCTGTGGATGAGAACTTTTCCCTCAGAGGTGAAACTTTGAAGAAAGCCATTGCAGAAGACAGAAAGAAAGGCCTCGTGCCAGTCTTTGTATGTTCAACTTTCTGGCTGAGGGTATTGGCATAGCGTTGTATTCTTAATGTCAAGATAAAATTACATCTGAAACATTTCTTATTGTGTTAAAATACATCTACTGAATGTTAAAATGTATAGAAGAGTGTTTTATTGAATGTAAATTTTGAATGTTTTGACTGTCTACCTAACCTGCCCACTTTTAAAGTGCTGCATCCATTTATTAGAAAACCCCAATCCATCTTAACAGGTTTCGTTTCTTCTAGGTTTGTGCAACATTGGGTACAACTGGTGTCTGTGCTTTTGACAGTCTCTCAGAACTGGGTCCAATCTGTAAGTGTCTTTTTTTTTTTCTTTTTTTAAACTATGAAAGCATATAAAAGATAGGGAGACTTTTGCATGCCAAAAACAAGGAAAGTAGGAACACTGATCAGCTGAGTTTTTTCAGACATATCTCAGGGATCGCTGAAGTCAGTACAGGACTTTGCAGTGATTTCTGTAAGTTTTAGATTAGGATGCTAAAATACGTTCTATTCAAGATGGATGGAATTTGCCAACTAATAAATCTTTAACGTGGTTATTCAGGAAATACAGACTGTGCAATACTGTTATGGGATGGATACATAAACATTTAACCTAACAAAGGAGTTTTGAAAGTAGATTCTAGTAGGACATCCTTTGGATCCACCAGTTTCGTAGGTAAATTTGTCATGATTGCAGATTCTATTCCAGCATCAATTCTGCCCAATAGCTTTGGAAGACCTGAGGTGCTTTCTCATATGGGTCAGATTGTGGCTTCTGTTTCTGGGTCCTTTTTGCTTGCCCTGCTGTCTTTGTTCTGGCTTTGTGCAACTGAGTGGTACTGGGGAATTCCATGTAGTAGAAGGGCAGGGGAGAGAAGTCAATCATTAAGAAGTCCCACTCACATCAAATATGAAATAGTGAATTTTGTTGTAGTGTCCACCTGATTTCAGCATTATCCTCTGTTTTGGGGTTATGGATTCACAGCTTTAGAATAAAACTAGATTGTCAATTGTTTGTCTGCCTCCTCCAAAAAAATGCACCTGTTTTTTTCAGAGAGGAGAGATTAAGCATGCACTTTGATTTCTTATGTCCCTTACATAACAACAATCTCAATTCCATCAGGTGATGCTGAGGGACTCTGGCTTCATATTGATGCTGCATATGCAGGAACAGCATTTGTATGTCCTGAATTTAGGCTGTTCTTGGATGGAATTGAATATGCAGATTCCTTTACTTTTAACCCTTCTAAATGGATGATGGTTCATTTTGACTGCACTGGATTTTGGTGAGTAAAGGCAAAATGCAAACAACACCACAAGAATAACATGGAAATTGCAAAGTATTTCTCTGCACTTATTTTGCTAAATCTAGTTCCTTCTATAATTGATAGGGTTAAGGATAAATACAAATTACATCAAACCTTCAGTGTTAACCCTGTCTACCTCAGACATGCCAACTCAGGAGCTGCAATTGACTTCATGGTAAGTTATTATTTCAGTTGATATTTTATATTACATATAAAATGTTCAAACAGACTGTGAAATTCCTCACACTCTGGAGCATGCTTATCTTATAGATGATCTGATTACATAAATCCAATTATACTTAGATCCTAATACAAAGTAAATAATAAAACTTTAAAGTGATCTGTGGTTATGAAGATTGATTATAAAATTGCTTTCAGATTGAAGTACTTAAGATTTTTACACAGATAGAGATCCAGCCTTGCCTTTTTAATGAGAAGGGTCATTTCTGTGCATTGTGTTGCTGAAGTAAGTCCTACTGATGCCATTTTGGCTGAATTTCTTGTATCTCTGACATGCAATAAAAGAGAGAAAGGAGTAAGCAATGGAAACACAATGCTCTGAAACAGCAGGAGACTGAATTACATTTTTCTTCAGATTAAGGTATTCATAGGAGAGCCAAGAGGCATTTCACTTTAGATACCTCTTACAGCAGATTTCAGTACAGTAATACAAAGGAATATTCACTGCCAATTATTTCTGCTATGATCTCACCCTAGTCCTGAAAAGATAATTGTTTTCTTGAAATCAATAGTGCTTTTCACTAGAGTGCAAGTGGAGGGAGGGATGGAAAAAAAAGATATTGAGTCCCTCTTGTGGTTAAATCGGATCCTGCATGTGATTGTGTAGCTGCCTAGGAATACTCCTTTATATGTTTTCTCACTCTTTTGCTTGCAGTAGGTGCTACTTTGTCTGGAACTGCCTACCTCTGTATCAACTCTTGTTCAGGATGGCACTTAAATATGCAAATTACAGGAACTGAAGTGAGCACTCAGTCCTGAAGTGTAAATGGCCACATTTTAAATTGATCATGCTCTTAAAATGCAAAAAGTTGCTGTTATTGGCCGATAATTAACTTAAAATTCTAATCATGTCTAGGCCATAGATTAAGGGGAATAACCAAAATCTTATTTTTGCAAATAATTGAAAAATATGGAGACACAGTGTTTCTTTGACGGTTGTTTCCTAGGCTTAGCAGATATTCAATAATATGACACTGTTTGTCTCAAAAGAGATTTCTGGCCTGAGCCTGAAGCAATAGGTGTAGCAGTGTAAGGGGAACCCTCCCTTCTGTTGTTTCTGCACTCATCGAGGCACTGTTGTGTTTCCACAGCACTGGCAGATTCCACTGAGCCGCCGATTCCGGTCTTTGAAGCTGTGGTTTGTGCTTCGCTCGTTTGGGGTGAAAAAGCTTCAAGCTCACGTCCGACAGGTATGTGAATTAACAGTGCAACCACACATGTGTTATGTCCATTTCTTGGTAGCTGAGATTAATGAGTTCAAAGGTTCAAAGAAGAGTAACAGAAATCCTCTGACATGCAAAGCTTGCATGTGAACACTAAACGTGTGCTCTTAAGCAATCTGTAAAGATTAACTGCATAGACAAAACGTTTCCTGTCCCCTTCTTGGAAGCAATAGGCAATGGCAGGCGAGTTGGTAAGTCACAGCCTTCTGCCTGTTACTGAGTACTCATCTGTAGGAGCTTTCTTTGAGGCAGCTGTTTGAGAGGCAGGCTGTGATGAAAGGCTGAACCCACCACTGTGAAAATGTACAGGCTTAAGTCTCTGATGGAGAGTAAGTACAAGGATCGTATTGTGGATCAATGGTTGCCGCAAAAGGACTCCAGTCTGAGAAGGCACATTGTTTTCAAATGTTCTTCTAGAAAATCCCTATGTATAGTCCAATTACTCATGTTCATTGTCAAGGGTTTGGGCAAATAGACAGACTTTAAAGTTCTTAACTTTTTTGTCATTCTTCTGTTTTCTGCTATCCATGCATTGAAATGATGTGTTTTAGTAAGGAAAGAAAGTCTTTTTAACTATCTTATTTAGTGTTTTACAGTGGGTTTGTGACAAACCAATATATAACTAGGGTTATAGGTTAATTAAGTTTTTCTTAATTATAGGGTACTGAAACAGCCAAATTCTTTGAGTCCTTGGTTAAAAGTGATCCGCTTTTTGAAATTCCTGCAAAGAGGCATCTTGGACTGGTTGTATTTCGGCTAAAGGTAATGATTAGATCTTTTGTATGTCTCTTTGGAATGAATTGACCACAGCTGATCTCTCCCCAGATGTTAAGAACTGTGAATAAACTTTCATGTAAGAATTTGTGATCGCAATTCTTAGAGATGTTTGGATGTCATTGGAAATTCTAACTGTAGTATTTCTTTTTCTTATTCACATTTAAAACAGGGTCCCAACTGGCTGACAGAAAAACTCCTGAAAGAACTAAGCAGTTCTGGCAGGCTCTTCCTCATTCCAGCAACCATTCATGACAAGTTCATCATTCGCTTTACTGTAACGTCTCAGTTCACAACCAGGGAAGACATTCTGCGAGACTGGAACATCATTCAACACACTGCAGCCCAAATTGTTAGCCAGAATTATGGGCTGCACTGCATCAGTTCTGATGATGGGGCAAGAATCCCTGCTATGGTAGTAGAGCCCAGTTCTGATGCCATTAGTAATGCTTCCCAGCTTTATCTAGATGGAGGGAAATCTAAACCACCTTCCAGAAAAACAGTAGTTCAGCCTAAGAAGTTATCGGTGAGTCCCAGTACACGTGTGATTAGTCAACAAGTGAAAGGTCAAGGGGATCCTCTAGATGACTGTTTTCCAGAAGATGTCCAAGATGTTACCAAACATAAGTTAACCTCTTTTTTATTCAGTTATTTATCTGTTCAAGGTAAGAAAAAGACAGCACGTTCCCTTAGCTGCACCAGTGTGCCAGTGACTGGTAGTCTTGAGCAGTGTAACCCCAAAGCTGCAGCCACTGACAAGGAGGAGTCTCGTGCAAATGCCAGGGTTCTTTCTAGCCTGCCTGAAGACATGATGATGTTCAAAAAAAGTGCCTTCAAAAAACTAATTAAGTTCTACAGTGTCCCAAGCTTTCCAGAGTGTAGCATTCAGTGTGGCCTTCAGCTGCCTTGTTGTCCTCTGCAAGCCATTGTTTAACAAGTAAGAGAGCTTAGTCCTTAGAAAGAGAACCAAAGTTTGCTTAATCATATGCAATACCACGTGTTCTTTTGTTCAATATGTAAGCAGTGGCAATGACCACTGAGAAAATTACTGTGCTTTTACTGGTGAAAACCTCATGTATTTATAGATTAAAATGTCAAATAAATCTTGTAGGCATATAACATGAAACCCTGTGTTTTGTAGACTGTGGTAAAGAAAATGCCAATTTCTGCCTTATCCCTCCCGGTAATGGGCAGTTTCCAGCTGGTAGGTGAACAATTTTGACAAAGTATACTGGCCTCAGTAGAGGGTAAACAATGTAGGTCTCTATTTGCACCATTTATTTGGTTTTATTTTTTTGATACCTTGACTTGAACTCTTTAGACTGCTGTGAATTTAACTTATATAACAAACACCTCAGTATTTTGAAATGGAAACTCCAAAATTAACCATCCAAAATAAATAAATAATTACATAAAAATGTAATATTTTTAGCAAAGTATTACTAACATTTGTTACTGTCACAGCTTGAATCTGAGCTCCAGCCCCAGTGAATGACGCACAGGCACACTGGGAGGGTTAGTTCCTTCATATTTGTAGGGTGCAAGGAACTATGACTATGTGGTACTGATTATTTGCCTGTTTCTGCCACTGTGTCAAGCAGTGCATAGGTTCCCCTTGACTTCAACTATGAAATCCTAATTGGTCAGCACTTGCTTATACTCAGCTTTAGACAATAGAAATCTGTTTCATTAACAGGAAATACAGTTAATGAAATTTATTCACTACTCTTCTCTCAGTTTCTGTGCTCTATTCTCTCATTTGCCTTTTTTCCTGCCTACTTCTATTTTCAGTTCTTTGTAAGGGGCTTGTTGCTACAGTGCTCATTTGCTCTATTCATAGAGCAGGAAAGGAAGTTAAAAATAAAGCTAAACCTTGTCAGATCCTATAGAGCTCCTTAGACCTGGGAAAGAGACTTCCACTCTGCAGGTGCCAACATCCAAGACTTTGCAGGGTTTGCCAACAGGCAAGGATATCTTGCTTTGATCCACAAGATGTCACCAGCGGGCAACAAGTAACTGGAAATTTGCATTAAATTGGGATTCAGGCTCACCGTGAAAGACAGGGAGCATGGGAAAGCCCAACACTCCTCATGCTGCTAACCACAGGATACTCCAGGCTGCAGCATTTTCTGTGCAGACAGCCTCCTCTCTTTTCAGTTTTCTATTTTGTTATGATTTGATAGGAGATTACACTGTAATGGTACAAGACAGCATGCAGCATTCTAGCTAGCTGTGTGACAGCAATCATACCACGAAGCAACTCTTACTTAATTACTGGTGAATGGCAGAGAGCTGGGATTCAGAATGGAGGACTTGTGGCTTCAGAGAACTGGTGTAACAGGCCAGCTGTGTTTGTTCTTTCCTTACCTGTGTCACCTGACACTCCCCACTGAAGTTCACAGCTGGCTGTTTTTCAGGATTGCTAAACTGAAGCCTTCAAGGGTAATTTTTCAGTTTCAAATGTCTTTCTGTCACATTTCAAATTCACAGCTACTACAGTTTCTATTAAATGCTTATTTGCAGTTTTACCACAGTTTTTCTGGAAGGTTTCAATCAGATGTGCAGGTTGACCTGATCTAATTCATTGGTGCAGCCAAAAGGGGTGATTCTGTTTCCCTGTCCTCCTTATGTGACCTCCTAACTCCACTGCCTCCCTTACTCCAGCTCTGGTGCTCTTCTGACAGTTCAGTGATTAATTCAGCTCACTAAGCCAGGAGAAACCTGTGTTTTGCTGGGTGAGTTCTCTGTTGACTCACTGAGTAGAACTGGCTTTTTAAGGAATCATATTAGTACCAATATTAGGACTAATACATAGGAAGGAATGAGGAAGTAATAAGCACCAGCTTCATCTCCCTCCCCTACATGCTACATCCCAAATTCTCCCTCTGTTCCCTCCCACCTTAGGAAGGAATGCAAGGTGTCTATTAACCAGGCAAAATAATTTTTGTAAATGTAAGAACCAAGTTCTTAGTCTATGGAGAGATAAATCACTGAACCTACTCACGGTGGAGTTCAAAGCCATTCCATTTTCACCCTCCCTGCCTGGCAGAGGTTCAGGAGATGAAGGTCAGTGAAATACATGCTCTGGCACTACTTAAATTGTGCTAGCATCAGCAGTTTATTGGTATTTTTCCATATCTTTCCCAACTTCTGCGGGATGATGCTTACAAGTCTGTAATGCATCAGGATGTCTAGTAGGTCAGCTAGGTGAGCTGAATTGACATCTTTGTTCAGTGAAATAATTTGCAATCACCAACTTTGAAAAAAGTCTCCTTCAAAAGGAGTGAGCCACTCCTGTGACTAGAATTTCCAAGCAAGTTTTGTCTAATGAATTACCCAGGTCCCTCCTAAAATCAAGAAATCTTGATATTATAGGGTGCCTTTACTTTGCTGCAGCTCTTTTATGTTCCTTTATGTTAATTACATTGCTTTTGAAAGATAAAATGGTGCAACCTGGCTGGAACTAAACATGCCATGACTTGTTAGACAAAACCATATAGACAGTCCAGATTTGTGTGCTATATGCTTCTGTTCTTCCTAAATTTATCGGATCTGAAACCTCCTTCCTTTTCAAGAAATTGGAATTTTGCAGCTAAGAATTTGTTTTGCTAGAAAATTGCCTACTGAATCTCCTTGCAATAACATGTATTGAAGCTAAAAATCTTACACTATTTTGGATTGATTGGTGAGCTTGGATTTAGCTCTCTGCTCATTTATGACTGGCTAAAGAAATTCTAGTTGAAGCTGTCTGAGTCACAGTGAGACTCATCTTTCTGTGCAGAGGTGTTAGAAGCAACTGCTATGAAATTCTAGGAAGAAAATTGTAATAGTCTACAGTGACACGTGAGAGATTCCTGGTGCTGGATGGTAACTAGATTTTTGGCATTCTTGTCTTCCTTGGATGGACATGGCTGGGATTCACCAGAACAGATGTGCTTTCCAGGATCAGTGAAGGGAGCTGTCAAAGCTCAGGAATTAGCTCCTCTTCTAATACAGAAACTCCAAAGGGAGCCTTGCTCAATTCTCTTTCATGAAGTTGAGAAAATGTTTCCATCCCATAAATAGATTTTGAATTCTGTAGGCTCATTACAGATACACAGCCAAACTGCTTCCAGAGCTATGCCAGCAGAAGTCAGTTGAGAGTTCAGTTAGTTGTGTTAATTCATTGCAAGCAAGCTACTTGTGCTCTCCTCTGCTGAGGACTTGTTATCTGTCGATAATTGGAGTGGCCAAGGGGAGATGAAAGGGTAAGGATTAAGAAGAAAGCTTGGCTGAGAATTTAAAATTACTCCTTTCCACCAAAGTCTGACTTCACTATTTTTCACTTGTGATGGAAGAGTAAATGATGTCCATGTGTCCAAATCCAATGTTGTTTTTTTAACCACAACTTTAAGCTTGAATCAGATTCAGCATAAAACTCACTATGAATTTATTAAATCCTCTGAATGAGACACTCAAACCCTACTTGTATAACTTTTTACTGTCCTACCATCAAGGCAAGATTATACTCAGCAAACTTTTCAAAGGCAGTAGATATAAGCAACGTTCACAGGTGCTGCCAACAACAGAATCAAGTGGTGGAATGTGCTTATCAAAGAACTGTGTTTTCTTAGAAAAACGGGAGGGGGGAGAATATGCTTTGCTCTCACAACCTTATTTACTGAGCAGCAGCAAACTAAACAGACAAGTTCTGCCCTCTAGTTCAATCTAAGGGTACTTCAGCCCCTTTCACACGAATGAACTGCATGCATATGCTAGAAAACAGTAGCTTGAGTAATTCCTCAAGAAACTGCATAGAGTGAGGTCCTGTGGCTTATTCCTCTTTTCAAGGAATCTCTTCAAGGCATTCTATGGTTCAGTGTAGAAAGGAGAAGCAGAGGAAAGCTGCTTTTTGTACTCCCTAAAGTAAATAGAAGTCTAATAACTTTGGTGCCTTGGGCTGTCCTCTCTTGAAACTTGGTATGGATAAGAGGTTATTGGAGAACCAAAGCTTCCTGTCTCTTCCAAGAAAGAAAGTGGAAGAAATGCTAAGTATTTCAACAAAAATCATGGAACCCCCCTTCAAATTAGGAGATTAGTAGTTTACTTGCAGTTGCTTCTCACATAATGGTTAAAGGAGTCATAATTTGTGAAACAGTTGTTCAGATGTATAATGTGATGTGGCTGCAATTTTAACTGCAGTGAAAAGAAAACTGGATGCAGTTGTTATTTCAGGGGCACAGCAGTTATATTAATAATTTCAATAAATATTGTTCTAGAAAGATGTGAAGCAGTTTCCCAATTTTAAATGCTTATGTACAGCAGGCTATGTTGCAAAACCATATATTTGAGATGCAAGAGATTTCAAATGTACTAGAGCCATGAAGTTCACTTGGCAGACCTGAGAGAAAATATCGTCACAGAACTGACCCTAGAAAATGTTGGTAGATCATGTTACTGTACACATGGAAATGCTGGTCTGAATGAAATCTATCCCACCAAGTGAAGTGCCTCTTGCTGCATGAACCTCCAGCATTTTTCAGTAGTTAGCACTGCACTGCCTCTGGAAATGACACAGTGTAAAATGTCATGGATTATGGTCACCGAATCCTTTGCCTTCACAGAACTTTCATCAGCTCTGTCACCTTTCTATAACAGAAATGTGACATCTAAAATTAAAACAGGTATTTATATGTGTGCTGGTACTCATTTATATGCACATACAGTGTAGCTAATCACACTGTGGATTTCTGCAAGCTCTGTTAGGAAAAGAATTTCATTATTAAATCAGTCATTTCTATGATGTAATGTGGTTTGTGAGTAGCCAGAAGGACAGTGGAAGTCTTACCTTCCTGAAACCAGGTGGATATTTTTATTTGAGCAAATTTAATTTGCTCAAAGTTCCAAAGATTTGGTTTTTTACTACTTTTAAGCCAAAAGTTTTGTCTAACAATTATCTCACTAGATCTCTGTCATTGTGTTTTCTATTTCAATTGCAGCTTGTATCTCCTCCCTGGCCAATGTCCTGCCCTTCACATATGTGCACCTCTACTACCTGTACTGTTTCCTTTGCTCAGTTACTGAGTCTTGTTTTGAGTAGGGATGTATAACTGTTTCTCTTCATCCTTTTAGTATTTTGGCTACTTGGTTCCCAAAAAAGGAGTTACATTATTTCATAAATTATCAGACATGCTTGAAATTTAGTGCAATACACTAATTTGTGAATTATAAAGTGAACTATATACTTTGAAATGAATTTTGATTGTATATGTGATTTGATTGCATTTTGCAACGAAATTTTAAAGACATTTTAACAGAAAGATATGAAGAGCAATATTTGCATAAATAAAATAATACACTAGGAATTGACTTGTACCAATGGACTAACAACCTTAGAAAATTGTGATCTATTGCTACCTAAGTTTCAAATAGAAAACATCTACATAAGTCATCTGCTTTCAGTCATGAGATGTTTTGATTTCTGAAAGACAAGGAAGGTTTTAGCCTTGCTTCCAGGAACAGAAGGTTACATGACTGTGGGTTGTGTATGTGCATATATATGTCTGTATCTGCTCCCTCCTTCCCCTCCCTGTAACTTGAACCTGTTGGCTGCTTTCAGACAAATTTGAGAAAGGGTCATAGGTCTCAATGGTATTAAGTTCCTACAAGTTCTGTGATAATAGCTGAGTAGGGATAAAGAGACCCCTGAAGTGCCCCAGCTCACAAAAAGGAGGCAGAGCTGTCAGATACCAGTGTGTCCACATAATGGAGACTCCTTACAAATTCTGATCTGTGATTATATTAAATGCCATCCAGTTTATGATTATGATTTATCATTTACCATATGAATTGCACAAAAAGATAGGAAATCGCTTCCACTTAGTTCTTGTAGTCACAGGAGTGTTTCATTCTGTGGTCAAAGCTCCATTGTAGCAAACTGTGTTCAGTCTGATGGAGAATTTGGCTTTCAGTGTGTCACACAGTTAAGATGTCCTGACAAGAAAGAACACAAAATCTTCCAAGAATTACACAGAATTGACTTGTGGGGAAAACTACAGGATTTGTCCTTCCATAAAAGACAAAATAGGCAGAACCCATGTAAAGTTTGTCAGGAAATTTAAATTGGGCTCAGTGAAGCTGGGATTAGGGAGAAAGGATTCCTGCCATTTTATGTATGTAGCTTGTTTGATTGGATAAATATAATTATGTATTTTGAGTGTGAAGAATGACAAAGCAAGATTTATATTATTTAATTAAAATTGAAATATCTTTCAAAGTACTTTGAAAAGAGTACATTGTTTTTAGCTCTTTTTATAGATCACAAGTAAAAGTAAAATATTTTAAATTAGAGGAATTGTTTCAATTATGTGTGGAAAAATATTTTTACTGTTTTTGGAGTTCAGAGTTGACTACAAAATTATGACCTTAAATGAGGAAAAAAACCCACCCTCATTTTAATACTTTGAGGTGCATTTATTCTTTTCAATTGGAACAGTCCAGACTTCTGAACTTCAGGAAGTTTGAAACTTGCTTTCTAAGAAGCATACTGAATTCTTCTGTGTTGCTCCTGATAGCTAAGAGATAAGATTTGCTGTGCCAAATTCTCTTCCTGTGGGTGCAGTCTGTTGGAATTTAGCAAGAAGTATCCTTTTCAAGGCACTAGAAGGAAGGCACTGAGGTCTCTCATGTTTGTATTTCTTAGCAGATTAAGTATCTGTAAGTAAGGTAAAAACTGTTGAGTATATGTAAATATTAAGACCAGCTCACACTAGATATCTTATACCAAATTGGTTTAATAGGTAATATAACAGAAATACTGGTAAGAAAGGGTAAGCTGTTCCTTAACCTTAAATATCATGTTCCCCAAGTGCTTCAGGCATGTTGCTGTACCACATTACAAATCTAAACAACAGCAAATAAGGACCTCAATTCCTGGGCAGATGGAAATTCATATTTAAGCAGCAGTATAATCCCTTGAGACTTCTGTTTCTCCAGTAGAGATGTGTTAGAGATAAGATAGGTAGAACTAAGACCAGACACTGTCCTAAAACATAGATGAGTTTATACTTCAATCTTCAGTAACACTGGTCTTGTTGCCAAGGATAACTTCTCTCTGCTATGTCTCCTGTTGCTTTTTGTAGTTCTATAGTTTTAAATTAGAATTTTACTACTTAATATCTTATTAATATCTTATTCTCTCATGCTGCTGGTCCAGAATGTTGCTCTTCATTAACTGGAACCACATTGCTTTAAATGGATTACCTCATTATCAAAATGAGATAAGCCTGCAAGGCACCTTATGTCATTCAAAAATGATGGATAGAATATTACAAAACATGCATTGAGCCCCATTAAAAAAACCAAATCACCACTTGCTAGTTAATATTTATAGGCCAGATCTCAGCAATAGCAATGTGAAGCTCCTTTTTCTGTTTCAAGTTAAAATTCCATACTGAGGTGAAGTCTGGAGGAGAAGAAAATATATTTACTAGATCAGCACATAATTTTAAAATAATTGGCAAGCTTTTGGTTAATGAGCTGAGCTTTCAAGGTATTCCAATAATTCTAGCAATTTGTGTAATAACATTAATGATGTGATCTTTCTAATAAGATTTTTGATCCAAAAAGCTCAGTGCCTGCTAAGTCAACCACATGTTTAAGTAAATTTCTTGTATTTGAATGAATGAACTTGGCTTGCTATAAATTTGAATAACCATCATGGTGGTGTGTTCCATGATTTATGTCTCTGTTAAAATGTACACGACTAGATCAAGTCCTTCTTGTAGAAGAGGAAGAAGATAAGAAGAGCTGCCTAATACACGAAAAGCAAGAGGACTCTCATTTTGATGCCAAAGAAGGGACTGTAAGGAATGACACTTCCATACACCACAGGTGCAAACTGTATGAGGTCTGTACTGGACATGAAGGAACAAAAAATGTAAGCAAAGAAATACAAATAAGTAACTGTTTAGGAGACAAACAAGGGTTTTTTTCAAGTGATCCCAAAGATGGTCAGGCGAGGACAGAAGTGCAGTGATACCACTAGAGTGCATTGTAGATGGTGAGTGCAGGGACAGCATTGCAGGTATCAAGGCCCATGTGAGGGCAGTCTGGGGGTCAAATGACTCGTATAAAGGCTGGGAGGAAAATGCTATTTACCATGAGTGAAGGTCTCTGGTCAGACCATAAATGTGCCAGTTAGGAAAAGGAAAGTATTTCTGCTTTGATTGTACTTAGATGAAGACTGGTTTGCATCCAGGAGGAGCTACCGCTAAAAAAGAAAGAAACAGACCTGTGAGATATGGGAAAGAATGCTTTCAATAAAAAAAATTGTGAGCAGAAATGATTCAGTCCAGAAAGAAAAATAAAAAAAATGGTATAGCATTCAGCAAAAGCTTGTTCCAATTATGGCAAGGACAATTTTAGGGACCCTGTAAAGCATCAAACACATGTAGTAAGTAGGGAAAGAAGTAGTGTGCAGAGTCAGAAAAACTATGTAAACTGAGTTGATAAAGAATGATCCAAAGGTCCAAAACTAGCTGATAAATTGAAAAGGACAGAAAAGGAAGCAAGACCTTTGGATTTAGCCACAAGCCAATCATTAATTTTTTTAGAAGGTCAATGCAAGTAAAGTGACCTTAGCAAAATCAACTGAATCTTATAACAAGTATTTGAGCAGAACTAGCATAAACTTAGGGCTTGAGGTTTTTTAAAAAAAGATGACTGGTAGCTAGGAATTAGACAGCATCAAGAAAATTCCTTTTGAAATTTAAAAAGAATAATCCTTTTATACTTTTTGGTACAAGAATAGTGTTTGATGTAATTATGTTACAAATGACTCCTAAAAAACAAAGTGAGTTACAAGAAAGTTCTGCAGTCATATGAAACTGGGTAACATGTTCTTGGTATCATGCTAACTAAAATAATTAACTTTTCTCCAAGAACTATGTAAATTCACGGAAAACTTGTACTGTGCTATTTGTCCTGGGAAGGTGTAGTGTTTACCCGTGTCAGAAAGGCAAACTGCTGAATGAATAATTGCTTAGTAGAATAAGACTTGCTTACTCGTATTTTCTAAGGCATGTAAAAGCTGTGGCTGATTTGCTGTATTCTAAACTTTCTATTATGTTTTAATATATGTTACTACTAGTGATGTTTATCTTTTTCTGCTGTAGGTATGTCTGCTGAGTTCACTAGCACTGCCTGTGATCTCGCATACACAAGTACTGTTAAATATTGTGTCTGTTCACAGCCGTGCCCCACTGTACCAGCTCTGGAGAGCTGGAGGAGTGCTGAACAGGGCACTGCTTGGGTGATAAAGGCAGAAGCAAAAATCACGTTCAAAGAAAGATGCAGATTTTTTACAACTTTAAACGGAATAACTCGGATAAAAGTAATTTTTGCTGTGTCTGTTTTTCACTTTTGTAAGGCAAAACCAGATGATTTAAAAGTGAACTTATGTGCAAAGTTAAGAAAGTGCAGAATAGCACAATCAGGCTAAGAGGAACACACTAAATCTGAGTAGAGCTGGTAGCAAACATATTTCTCCTTGTAGACAGTTTCTGTAGAGTAGAAGTACTTTTGAAGATATGTCTGTTGATTTTATCAGGGAGAGATTTTTGCAGGGAAACATAAGTATAGGTCTATGAGGAGCTATCTGATTTAGGTTTTAAGTTGATTTTTCGTTGTATCACAATAAGGATTTTGAGAAGCTGGAATTTGAAATTTTTTAGGATATTCTTGAAACAGCCACTCAATAATTAGAGTTAAAATATTTATAGGTGAATCACAAAGTCTTTAGGTTGTGTAGTCTAAAAATCTGAATTCTCAACACATGAAATCTTGGAATTTTTGGTAAAATTGAACCTGTTTACTACATGTTTAATGAAGAACACGCATATTTGATGACTAAAAATGACTGAATTACGCACTTCGGTACGCTTTTTAGAGCAGCATTTTAAACGTGACTGGAAATCTCCAGAGGCAGATTGCTGCTGAAGAGCCCTTCGTGGAAATGAAATCCCTGACGGCAGCTGCGGGCGGGCGGTGCCCCCCCCCCGACAGGCTCCGCTCCCCGCGGCCCCCGGGCGGGGTGGACGGGCCCCATAAAGGCGGCGGGCGGCGCGGGGTTCAGTCCTGAGGGTGGGCGCGGAGCCGAGCCGAGCTAAGCTAAACTAAACTAAGCTAAGCTAAGCTAAGCTAAACTAAGCTAAGCTAAACTAAGCTAAGCTAAACTAAACTAAGCTACACTAAGCTAAGCTGAGCTGTCCTGTCCTGCGCTGTCCTGCCAGCAGAGATGCTGCGAGTGCGGTGCTTGCGCGGGGGAAGCCGCGGAGCCGAAGCGGCGCATTACATCGGCTCACGGGTTGGTGCCGCCGCGCTGGGGGCTGGTGGGGTTGAGGATGCCCCGGGGGGACGGGGTCCTGTGTGGCCACTTAGTCGGGGCGCTCCGAGTGGTGGCAAGAGGGTGCGGGACGGCTGCGGGCTCCTCTGACTGAGGCTCGCCCAGCATCCACCCGGCTCAGCAGCGCAGAGTTCAGTGACTCCAGTCGCCACTGTCAGAGCTGTGCTTCTGTGTCATTACCCTTCTAAACTGAGTGCGTTTTAAAAGGCAAAATGTCCTTGAAGCGTCTAGTAGGCTGTGAATAAGTTAGAGCGGCTGTAACAAGCTGTGCTTCTGTTAATGCTCCAAATAGGGTATGTTCCTTTGGGATTACAGTGTTAAGGCACTTGTGGGCTGAACCATCACTTTTTGCCTTTTGTAAGGGAAGTATAATTTTTATTCTCGTTTTTATTTTAAGCTACAAAGAGTCTTTACAGGATGGGTGCAGCGAACTTTCCAGAGCACCCAGGCAGCCACGGCCTCCCAGAACACCTGTGCTGCCGATGACAAGGCTACCAGCCCTGTGCCTAAAGACTGTCTTGTTTGCTCATACAATGAATGGGACCCACTGGAAGAGGTCATTGTGGGAAGAGCTGAAAATGCTTGTGTCCCACCTTTTTCTGTGGAAGTTAAGGTAAGCAATAAAAAAAAAATACACTTAAATAGAAAATGATGTGGGTTTTATACATACAATTTGCTTAAGTGTACAAGGTATGATGTTCACTCTTGAGGATTCTTCTTTCAAAGTAGTTGTTTATATCTGTGAAACTTTACAGTATAGCCATGTTGGTGAGGGATGTGCTTTTTCTTTTCACTTTTAACTGAATGAGCTGTTTTAACCGAAGTCACTAATAGAGAGAATCTCTAATATGTGCAATTTGCTCTAGTTATATAGATCTGATGCTATCAAAGTATACACACTAGCTTTTGAGGTAATAAAACTTTAATTTGGCTTGAAACTAAGTAGGGTTACCACTTTAAAAAAAAAGTGTAATTTTCTACTTAATAGTCTGAGAAAAATCAAAGTCTATAGCTGTGGACTAGTGGGACTACTGTATTAAATAGCTCTGAAGTAGCTCACTGCAACTCCTGTGTGCTACAGCCAATATTGTGTGGAAATACATACTCTTCTGTTTTTCAAGATTTTTTCTGTGCCTAAAACTGAAACAGCAAACTAAATAAATCTGTGTTTCTGTGCTCTCTGAAATCATGTATTTTAAACAGTAACACTCAAACAATGGGCTTGCTTCAGATTTTTGAATACTTTACCTGGACTTAAAAGTTGCTGTATATGTGTGTTACCTGCATTTGTGGGATGCTCTTGAATCATTCTCTTTCATTGTTACAGTACAGCACTCTCTCCAGGGAAGCATGTAATCCATGGCTATCACAGCAAAATGAGCTGGGATAATATTTCTGCCAATGGCAAACAAAGATACCGAAAATATATTTAAAGTGCTGGAAATGGTCATCTTGGAGAAGTTTGAGATGTACTAGTGGAGAAGACTTCTCTTAGCTCTTTTTATGTTTGTATTTCTTTTTTTTTTTTTTTTTTTTTTTTTTTTTTTTTTTTTTTTTTTTAGAATCTGGGCTATGATTCTGGGCAGAACTGGTTGAAGGAGTGTGAATGAATTTCTTCAGCTTGTTAGTTCTAATGCCCAGACAGCAGAGTAATCATTTGACTTACACTGGGACATTTGAGATGACATCTTGTGCCAGTGAGCACAATGAAAGCTTCACTACTGACTTCATTATGACTTTTATTTACTCCTTGAAAGCTGCAGCTCAGTTACCAATCTCTGGCATCCTCTTTCAGACACTCCAAAGACATTCTATCAGCTTCAGAGAAAGAAGTGAACAAGTGTTGGCATTTCTAATATACGAGTGTATGTATATGCATCTATAGAAGACTGACATAATGAATGCACAGGAGGAGTAAGGAAAAAAATGTCTAACTTTTTTACATTGTGACATTCAGTGAAGCAAAATTCTGTTCTTGAGTAGGGGCCAAGGGCTTGCTTTAGTGCCAGAAAAAATAGTTCAAGTGTCTAACTTGCTGAAGTGTGACATGCTATACAGGTTTTACTGCCTATTAGGCTATAACTACTCATATGAGATCAGAACTTCACTTTCTCATACGTGTGATATCAAAAGCTCAATGAGGAATGTCAAAGGACAGGATTACCTCTGCAATTCCAATACCTTAACCTTGGGTTAAAGCATGCTTTAGCTTTGCTTCATGTCAACTGCCAAGCCCACAGCAGGTACTGGGAACAGACCATGCCAGCTGAGATGTAGTTTCCTCTAATTTTCTCTGCTTTTGTCGTAAATTTTGCTGTAGAAACTGCAGCAGTAACTACCTGGGGGATGTTGCTGAGAAATTCAAACAGTAGTTCGGTCCTTCCTTGACTATTACTATTAATTAACAGATGAATTATTGTTCAAATCTCCATATGGCTGAAAGATAAGGTGTGTATGTGTGTGTTGCTCCAGTGTAATACCATAGCCAGAAATCCCTGTTCCTGCCCCTCTGAGTAGCAATAGTAGGGTTCATGTGTTTCACATGCCATCTGCCAAGTATGCATGAGGGTCACTGGTTATAAAAACTGCAGTTTGAAACTAATGAATTTGATTCTCATAAGGAAAATTTGAAGCTTTGGACCTGAGACACTTTAAAGAATATATCTCAAATCATAAGAGTTTGGTGAATGCTTGTGTTGAGGTTCAGTTTTAAGATTGTATGCAGGTTTATTTACCAAATATTTAAATGCAGGAAGCATGTCTGCATTCAGCATTCTTGTACTTTGGGACATGGTTTTGGTATACACAAATCCTTTTGCTGTGATGTGAGACTGCTGTGCTCGGCATAAGAAGGAGGAAGGAAGGAATTGAATAGAGAGCCCTGCATATCTGATGAATATCAATGAGGTGACACTATTGCATATCCTTTTCAGGGTTTGAAATGGTCTATGTAGGTTATGTAGAGGTAAATACACTATTTGGAAACATAGGGAATCTTAACAAGGAGGTGAACAACTGCATTAATTAGGAAGATGTCCTTTTTTGAAATAGCACTTTAGTGAAAAATCTCACAATTGAGACTTCTGAAGTTTTCTGAAGCAGTTAACACTTAGTGAAGCAGTTGAACTTTATAGCTTTGTACTCAATGCTTTTCAGTATATTTTGTGAATAATGATGCATTTTTGGTGAAGAGGTATTATTAATACAGGTCACTATATCTTGAGTGAGAATATGGGAGTGTGTTTACCACTGAATTAGACAAAAAGACTTCTGATTTGAATTTCTGTTTCAATGCTCTTAATTTAATAACTGTCATTACTAGTTTTAAGGTACATCTTGATAATGTTAATTATTTTCCACAAAAAAAATGTTTAAAATATATAGCAACTCTTGGGAACAATTCTGTTTCTTATAGACAATCTTTCCTCACAGCATTGCTTAAATTGCTCTCTAAAAAGAGTGAGTTTGTTTCAAATGTTGCTGCAGTGTCTCAGGTACTCTCAGTTCCTTTTCTATGTCCTGGCCATGGTACCTTTTGAAGAGCCTGAACTGACTTGTATGTATATAATCAAAGGGGCCTGAAATCTCAACCCTGATTTGGTATGGAATACATGTCCCAGCCATACACCCTTTTCCCAGATATTCAGAATGTAGGGAATATGAGTGGTGTTACTCTGTTGTAATCTCAAGATTATGCCATTGTATGGTTTCTCAGGTTTGAAAAAAATCAGTACTGGAAGACACACATAAAGAGAGGAGCTGCACCTCTTGGGGATGATGATATTCACATACATCATGGCTGGCTCTGAAAATAGCTTGCTTCACTTCATAGGACAAATTTATCTCATTAGCAGAACATGTTTCCATAGGAATGCTAAGCACTTCACGTGATCTCCATGTGACTTCTGACCAGCTGGCAAGTTTGAGGTGATCAATTTACCCAAGACCTCACTTATAGAAAAAGAATAAATTCCTTCAGGAGGGATGGGAAGAAGCTTCAGTATTGGAGGAGCAGGATGCCCATTCTGGGGCTCTCTGTGTAAATGTTAAGGTTGAATCTTCTTTCTTCTCTCTCACTTGTGTAACATGAGGGCAAATATCCAGAAATAGTAGAGAATAGAGTGGATAGCCTCAATTGTTAAAGGGGAACAGGCATACCTTCAGATGAATGGCCCTGCCTGCTCAGGCAGGTTAGCACTGACAGTGCTAACACAAAAGGAACTTTATTGCATGGTTTTTGTTGAGAACATCACTCTCTGGGAGGTATCAGGACTGCAGTGTCAGGAGAGAACCTCATGTTTGGAGGAGCAGGTTCTTCTGCACCCCGATGCTGTCCTTCATGCTGCTTGGATGGGATGGACTCTGGTAAAAAGAAGGCCTCACCACTTGCTTACCTGTTCCTGACTCCTGCTGTCATTCCAGAAGGGCTCCTTGCACTTGCATCTCTGCTAACACTGACGTGATAGAGGAACATTGGATACATTGAACTGAAGCAGCATCATTTGTTTTGATTGTATGTCTGGATTTTCTTACCCATGAGAACTAGGACATTATTTTGAATTTGTTTTTAATTTGAGAAGACTATCACAGGCTTTCAGCAGAGGATTTAGGCCTGTAAATGTTGTATTTGCTTTAATCC